AGTTGAAAATTACTTCAATCTAGCAATCTACCTGCTTTTGAAGATTTGGCCCTCTTCTCGGCCGGTTTGGCCGTTTTCTTTTTCTTCTCGGTGGCCCTTTTCTTTTTGGACCATAATTACCGACTCAGCTTGCACAGCTTCATGATATCAACGTTGAAGCCAAATGGGTCCTTTCCGAGATTAATTTGCACTGAAGAACCGATAAAAGACAAAAGACAGGCACGTCAAGCATCTCAAAACTGGATATAAATACAAAAAAAAACAGAAGTTCAGTTCGGCTTACCAGATTTCAACTTTCAAACTCTAAATAATTCGAGTTCGGAGCAGTTGATGGAGGCTTCGTTAATCTTTACAAAGAAGAAGTAGCTATTCTATTCATGGACTTTGCTCGGTGGATCTCCACAAATGATCCCATGCCTCATGGTGGTATAGAAATGATGTCACGGCCCCGCACTGCTCCACCTCCCGGGCTTCAAAAGCGTGATTCTCTCGAAAATATCGCAGTTGAAAGGAATCTCCGCCGCGCGAGCTACCGCCACCATAGAAATCAGATGCCTAATCACGGCATGTGACAGCTGACCAATGGGTACTTTCCTCCTTTCACAGTAACGAAGGAGGACCGGCGGCAGCGGAAAACTCAAGCCGAATTTGGTGAAATGGCACTCGTTTGAGCAGAAGTAACCCTCCGGCGACGATGAAACTCTCTCGTGCACTTGCGGTAGGAGTACTTCGACTCCGATCGGAAAATTGCATCGCCGCCTCAACTCCTGAAGCCTGTCAGCCGTCATCCAAGTCCGGCCATCTTTTACCTTGTCTTCCTTAGCCAAATCGCTATTCGGCATCGCGATCTTCTGCAGAAGACCTTCGATTCTACTTTCTGGCTCAAAGCCCTCCGACTCGAAATTATCTGATTCCAACTCGGAATCTATGTCAGGATGACCCGGCGGGATCTCATCTTGGTAACCCGAGGATTCTCTAAAACTGGAAGAAGAAGTCATTGGGCTAATCCAGGCTCGCCTGGCATGATCGGCGAGACAAATCTCGTCGTCATCGAAAGAAGAATTCTGAGACGAAGTCGACATTTTAGGGAATTTCTGAACAGATTACAGAAGCAAATGGAAGATCGGCAAATAAGAAAGGAGAATTATCGCGAAACAGAAGGAGGTTAAGAGTTTTCTGAAGCAAGAAGACAAAGGGATGTCTGAAGCAAGAAGACGAAGAGGTAAAAGTAAGAAATTAAATAGGAAAGAAATATCAACAGTTTCCTAAAGGGACGCGTGTCAAGATTTTTACAATCTCGCCGCCTGGCAAACCTTTCGCCTTTCCCGCTTGAAAGCAAAACCCTAAATGAGCCAGAATATTTAATAATTAATTCCAAGGAAGCGCCACGCGTCAAATCCACTTATCGGGCCGAGCTGGCCATTACGGAGAAACACTCTTGACGAGCTTGCGCTTAATGTGAGATCAAACTCGCTACGAACTTCATGATGTCCGCCGACCTGATTGCAATCAATCTCACCGAACTGGAGGGGGTGGGACTTACTATTAGAGGGGAAATGAGCACATTTCCTAAAAGGCTTTCTCTAGCAGTAACATAAGCCCATCAAGATTATGAGGACTGCACCGACCTAGCTCGGATAAAAGGAAAACTCTTAAGGATAACCTTTGAAGTCCGGAAACATCGGATCAACTCGAGGGATAAAAGATTTCCATATTCTTCGGAGAAAAAAGAAAAGAAGTTCGGAGCAACCGACCTCCTATCCCTATAAATAAGAAGACCCCGAAGCCAAGAAGAACAACTCATACATTCTAGAGAACAGAAGAGCTGAAACCAGAGACTCCAACGCTTTCTAGTTTACTTCGCAAACACCATTTCAGTTCGGCATAACCTCTCGGTTATCCCTCTCCTTGTAATCGCTTCGCTTATTACTATTAATAAAAGATCTTATTCTCTAAAACCCACAACTGTTAATCAAAACCCTAGTGGTGATTTTCTGGTTCAACAGATTGGTTGGAAAGCAAGACTGTGGTGAGTATGCTACCGGTGTTAATTTTATAAACGCAGCGACTAAGCAAAACAGCTGCAAAATAAAACAGTGACACCCAGCTACAGCTGCGACTAAAAAAAAATCAGTTGTAAAAGAAATAGTAATTAACACCGGAAAGTGACGCGGGTTTCCGAAAGTGAGAAAGTGACGTTGAAAATATTAGACGCGCGTGATTGTCGTGCGTCTAGAAAACGAACAGGGCTGTTATAAGCTTTTTAGAAAAGCCCATTTAAGATTTAAATTCGACAGTTAGAGCATATCAAATCAGCATTATAACTAGAATTAAAATTAGTATAAAAAACAAATTTAACAAAGAAAAAGTATTTGTATAAAAGAAATTAATGTGATGTCTATGATACCTATTTGAAAAATCAACAACAAAAGAGCTTAATAAAAAGAATGTAAGTACTAAATATCAAACATGCAAAAAAAGTATATAAATTAAAATAAATAAAAAAAACTACTATAAAAAATGTAAATTATCAAAAAAAAAATTTTAAAAAAAAATAATTTGAAATTAGTTCTAAAATGTTCCTGATTTATAAAGTATTAGTATCAACAATGAATAAATATCTAAAGTTGCAATAGGATTACATGAGTTTCTAAACCAAATATATTTTTAAATATACAATAATTAATACACTTGATAGTTCTGATTTAAAAACTAACAAAGAAAAACACTATAATAACTTTACACTCGATATTTAACAAGTAGTAAAATATGATTTCTCTACATAGTCACTACTTATATCTGAATCAACATCAATAACACATTCTAAAATTCTATTTAAATAATAAAGTATGACATAGTTATGAATCAAACTCAAATTTGCTATATGTAGATAAAATATTCAAATAAAAACATGCATATTGCACACAAAAGATAAAAACAGTGAAAATAATGTAAAGACTCCACACCACTGATCCTACAAGTTAGAAAACTAAGAGTATCAATTAGACTGTAAAAAAATAGATATCAATGAAAACTAAATAAAAATATAACATAAAACTCTTGGAAGACATATGGTGGAGAAGAAAAAAATGATTTTGCATGATCATTGCAACTTCTTAACAAAATTAAATACGAATCAACATGAATTATGGATTATATATGCAATGGTACACAACATCAATAAGACTTTCAATTAAAAAAAAAAACTAAATATTTAAACACATAAATCTTCAAGAAAAAAAAGAACTATAAAAATTCTATGGAAAATAGAAAATAATACCACAATATTAGCAATAAATCTTTCTCTAAATCAAATGTATATGTATGTCAAAGTTGGATAATTCGATAGGTATTATTGTTATTTTACCTAATAGTTTTAAAAATTTATAAATAAAAATAGGAGAAAATTACACATTATATATTAAATTCTTTTATATAAATGAAAATTTTTATAAATATATTATAGTAATAACTTTAAAGATAGTAGCTAAAAATTGTGCTTGTGCGTAGGCGAGTAATATACTTAGTGTTTCTTGTATTGCAAGAGAACAGCAAACGTTCGATGCTTGCATTCGCACTTCTTGTAATATCACAAGAAAACATCAACGTAATAAAATGGGATTCGGACTTGTAAATACAAAAAGCAGCAAACCTTTGATATTTTTCTTTTGTCGACATTATATATATTAGATTAGATAGATTTTACAAAACCTTAACTAAACATGTATTATGAATATTAAATACTAAATACGGACGAAAGAAACCCTAAAATCTGACCCTTCAAGAATCATCCGCAGCTATGAGCACGGTCGCGACGGAAGAGCGGAGGAAAGTATCAAAGTCTCCTCCGTCGACAACGTCTATTTCCAAGTTACCATACGATGTGACTCTCAACGTTTTGGCCCGTATCCGCAGAATCCATCATCCATCTCTAGCTCTCGTCTCCAAGAGTTTCCGATCACTCGTCGCTTCGCGTGAGCTCGACGCCACACGAGCCCTAATCGGAAAAACAGAGAACTACGTCTATATCTACCTAAAATTTCCCTGGCTAAACCGTGAACCTTTCTGGTACATACTTGCCCCGATTCCCAAACAGAAACTGGTGCCAATCCCTTCGTTTCCTTACAAACATCCAGAAAAAGCAGCCGTTGTCTCGATTGGTTCAGAGATTTACCTAATCGGAGGGTTCGTAGATGGAAAAAAAAGCAGAAACATGTTTGTCCTCGACTGTGGATCTCATCAATGGCGTAAACTTCCTGAAAAGCAGGCACCTCGAGGACATCCAGCCGCTGTTTGATTGACGGGAAAATCTATGTTTTTGGAGGTTGCACTTTTGGCGAGCACTATGGAGAGATTTATGATCCCAAGACCCAAATTTGGGCGCCATTATCGCCTACACAAGATTTTAGTATCCATGATCGCTTGGAAAAAATGGAAGACTTTTGGACCAACGTTTGCTTTGTAGCCAAAGAGAAGATATTGTGCAAATCATTGCGTTACGCAAGGTATGGTTGCTTACAATGGTGTGATATTGAGGGATATTCGGGATGGAGGGAAGTTAAGGGATTTGAAAGACTGCGGGTTACACCTCATTTTATCTCCGTGGCGAATTCGGGCGAAGGGAGAAGATTAACAATTTGGTGGACAGAAGAACAAGTTGCTAAAACTGAGATTTGGTGCGCGTAGATATCGTTGGAAAGACGAGGTAGAGAAGAGCTTTTCGGGACCTTGGAATGGTCCAAGATCATATATACCCTTGACCGCAGTCATGTTTCCCTTTTGGGCTGTGTCACAATGACGCATTGATCTTGTCCCTCGTCGTGTGTGTGTATTTATAATTTCTCTGTTTTCAAGTTTTATAATAACCAAACTTTTGCTAGTGACGAAAGAATTCTCCTGTTTATTTTTTCGTTAAAAGATTTTGCTACAGTCACGCATTGATTGCAATGTTATCTTAATGTTGCAAATCTTGTTTCTGTTAGCATCTTGATCACTTGTTCTTTTGGATAACTATTGTAATGGAATTCATCAAAAAAACTCGTTAGCACATTCAAAAATAAACCAAATGAAAAAACAGAGTCACTTTCGTATTGAAATCATATAACAATCAAAATGCATCAAAAATCATACAACACATGACCGTGTGATCCATGAGAGTTCATGAAACATCACAGATCCTAGAATTAAGATTTTTCTTCGTAATCAATCCGAAGAGCCACCATCGGAGATTTGCAGAGGATCGTCACACAAGTCTCTTTTGAGGATCTCCAAAAACTAAGATCATCTTCAGGGTTTCCTGTATCAACTCCATATTTATAAGAGTAAGTTGAGTCGAATATCTCAGTGATGAACAACATCGAGTCCCCACTCACACCACAACCATCAGGAAGCTCCTTCGCCGAGAACGAGCTGTTTCCCGAGCAAGTTCCCGGCTGTCCGATCAACAACACACGGTCTCCCAAATCGTTGACCACCACCCATTCACCAGCTTCCTCGTCTAGCCTACTCACTCTACATGCCATCTTGCTAAAACACAACACACCATTACGAACGATGACTCTCTCAACCAAGAAAAGCTCATCGTCGCCACATGGAACAAGATAGTTCTGCAAGGTCAGACGCTCCAAGTTCATCAAAGGAGCCGCGTCCAGCGAATAAGGATCGATGACGAAAACGTCACCGTTGATAAATACTACGTAGAATTTGCCATTACAAGTGATTATATCTTTGCAATCAGCTCTTGAGGTTTTGTTAAGCTGCATCCACCTCATTGCACCACTTCTTAGCACCAACAAATCATGAGCGTACCCCATAAGCACGACGAATTCTCCTCTTCCTTCCTTGTCAAGCGGAAGCAAAGCCACGCCTCTGTATCTTGTTGCTAAAGAATCAGGATCGTAACCGATCATTCTGTACTGATAGCCCAGAGGGAGAATCTGACAGTCGAGAATGTTCACCAAGGTCGGGTCAGATTCTCCCATCTTCACTTTCACTGAGCACTGAATAGAAGAAGATGGAATCTTGATATGATCCTCTGACTTGTCTTGGCTTATTCCTCCCACAAAAAACTCGGAAGGCAACGCATTAGTAGGAGACCGGACTCTAAAGAGGAACGTAGGGAGCTTCTCGAGGGTACAAGAGCCACTGCTTCTGCGAGGGAACTTGTCGAACGAAGGAAGAGAGTAAGTTGTGCGTAATGGGCAAGAAGAAGAAGGATAAGGGAAGATGGATCGCCATTGGCGGCACACAGAGCGAGCATGAATTATATCGAAACAGTCCTCCAACTTCTGTGAGATTATATGCAGTAGCTCTTCAGGGAGAAGAGACCAGCTTGGCGTGTAGAATGTGGGCTCTTTCGTTGAAGGTTGGGCCATTTTTGCTGATGGAGACGGAGACAGCTGCAGTTTTGAAACCTGATAGAAATATTCACAATTTTCATTGTTAAACGAAATTTTTAGACTAATATTCAAATCCCTATTTTTATCATACATATCTGCCAACAAACATCGAAGAACCAAATCAAATTTACAAACTCAAACTCTCTTAGTTAGGCTCAGAAACTAATTAGTAGCAAAAAGGGAGAAGAAGATTTCGTACACTAACCAGGAGAAGATACGACTCTGACATCATTGATGATGTATTCTTTTCCGTTGCAGGTTCTGCCATATTTGTTGATTGATGTGATTTCCTAACCTGAAAGAGAAATTAAGCTTCGATAAACAGTCCAATTCCAGAATTCCAATTTCAAAAGATTAGGTTTTTTCAGTTTTGTACCGAAGGAGGGAGAAAGAGTCCTTACCCAAGCCATGTTTGATGTCTTCTTTCTTGGTGCCATGTTTGCTGATTGCTACGATTTCCCGAATCTACAAGAAAATTTAAGCTTCTAGAGTTCAGGAAACTGTAAACAAACATAAACAAAGAGGATTGACCGCATAATTATCTCGATTGAAACAATTAATTATCTAACACTAATCCGAATTGACAAAAAAATGTATTTTCTGAATGCATAAAACACTACAAGAACAAGATTCGCCAAGAAATATTGAAAACAGAGAATCGAATCCAATTCCAGACTTCGATAAGAAATAGGTTTTTTTTCAATTTCGTACCAAAAAGGGAAAGAAGAATCAGTACCTGAACCGTCGTCCTCTCCTTTTATCTAAACGAACTGACCCAAGTGGGCAGCTTCTGTCTGAAACGAAATAAGGGTTTCACGTGCTTCGCTTAAATCAAAAAGGTTGTGGTTCAACTCAAGTTGTCATGTATCTATACTAAGATCATAATGGACTTATAAAGTTTTGATAGATTTGTTAAGTTTGTTAAAAAGATTTGTTAAATTTAAAAATAATTTGTTTATTTAGAAAAATTTATGAAAATATTTTATTATAATGATTTTTTAAATTTAAGTTATATAGGTAATATTTTGAAAGTCTTCCAAAATCTTGTTTTATGAGTTAAATCGTTTAAAATTCAAATTTTAATAAAACCAGATTTTAATAGATACAATCTTTAAATGCCAAATTTTTTGAATAACAAAGAATTTTAGATAAAGTTTTAAAATATTTAAACCAATAACAATGGATTATAGTAAGATTATAAGAATTAATAAACTAATAATAATGGAATCTCAAAATTCTCAAAATCTACATAAATTCATCTCTCAATAATTCTCCTGTCAAATTTTTCAAAACTTAATCTAAAAATATGCCATATAAGAAAAATGATAAAAGTTCTAATTTTAATTTTTTTAACAAATTAGAACTTTGGTTGTAGATAATTGGGTAAACCAAAGATTTGGATGTAGATAAGAGTTTTGCTCGTATTTAATTTTGGTTGTGTCGTTTTTTTTTCCTTCTTTTTCTTTGTGGAATCTGATACTTAAATTCTGATTTAAAAAGATTGAAGAATTTTAAAACTTAAATTATAGAAATTGTTATGATTTGATATTAAAATTCTATTACTACTTCATAATCTACAAATTATTAATATTATTACTACTTAAATTATAGAAATTGTTATGATTTGATTAGCAATTATGAAGATGGAAACTAATAATATTAATTATAATTTGTTAAAAAAATTTAACAAATTATAATAAAATATTGCTAATTTTATTAATTTAAGTATAGAAGATGGAATCTTGATGTGATCCTCTGACTTGTCTTGGCTTATTCCTCCCACAAAAAACTCGGAAGGCAACGCATTAGTAGGAGACCGGACTCTAAAGAGGAACGTAGGGAGCTTCTCGAGGGTACAAGAGCCACTGCTTCTGCGAGGTTATTTGTTAAACGTAATTCATGGTCCCCATTCTTTAAACATGTTTGTATTAAGGGAGGTCATGGGTAGAGATTTGACCGAACTGACACGTTTGATGAATATATATTTTTACTTTTCTGATCGGCTGTTCTTTGGCCCCACAAGTAACAGGTATCTCCCCATTGTAGATGATCCTCTCAATATAAATGAGATCTCTGAGCGATTTGCAGAAACAGCCCAATTACGTGGCCAGAGATCACCGAAGAGAACATCGCGAGAACGAGCGGTTAGTCTTATATAACTCGCCGAGCTGATTGTTCAAATGTCTGGTCGACTAACATTTCTTCTTGGATTGTCTTGGCTTCTCTAGAACGTCATCAAAACCGACCTGAGATAATTAGGTGCCGAAATGACTATAAAGGTGCACTTTGCAGGATTGAGCTTCAAGCCGTATTTGTTGATGTGACTGCGAAGGTGCACTTTGCAGGATTGAGCTTCAAGCCGTATTTGTTGAGTATTAGAAAGCACTCACGAAGATGATTGATATGGTCGGCTGCCTTAGCTGATTTGACGAGCATGTCGTCTATATAGACCTCCATTGTCTTGCCCAGCTGATCGACGAACATCTTATTGACCAGGCGCTGATATGTGGCTTCCGCGTTCTTTAGACCAAAATGCATAACCTTGTAGTGTCTCGGTCTTGCATAATGGATTCATCTTCCGAGATAATAGCTTATGTGTTCCTGATTATAGTTTGCGCCTACAACTGATCACGGAAATTCATGGAAAAGGTCATGTAGGCCAAGATAGGACGCTGCAATTGGTGGTTGCATCATATTTTTGGCCATCTCTTTGTCGTATTGTTGCTCGTTTCGTCAGAAGATGCGTTGTATGCCAACTCTCTAAGGGACACGCTAACAACATTGGTCTCTGTATGCCTCTTCCTATCCCGACTCAACCATGGACATACATAAGCATGGACTTTGTTTTGGGCTTGCCCCGTACGCAACATGGACATGATTTGATCTTTGTATTAGTGGATCGCTTCTCCAAAATGGCTCATTTTATACCATGTAAGAAGATAATGGATGTCCTGCAGGTTGCTCAATTGTTCTTTCGAGAGATATATTGCATCCATGGTTTGCCCTTGTCCATTGTGTCTGATCGAGATTCGTGTTTCTTAAGTCATTTTTGACGTTCTCTTTGGAATTTATTGCGTACAAGTCTTGACATGAGCTCCGCTTATCATCCTCAATCCGACGGCCAAACCAAGGTGACTAATCGATCATTAGGCGACATGTTGAGATGCTTAGTGGGTGAAAACATCATCACATGGGATACTATTTTGTGTAAGCAGAATTCTCTCATAACCATGCTGATAATCGGAGTACAAAATTCAGTCCTTTTGGTGTCATTTATGGTTTGACTCCTAGAGGACCAGTTGATCTTAGTGTAATTCCAGATGCTACGCGAAATCATGGACAAGCTATAGACTTTGTGGCCAACTAATCTTTCATTCACACACAAGTTTATGATTATTTGCAAGTTTCAGCAGCCAAATACAAAGAAGAAGCTGATTGTCCCCATCGTGAGGTGCGCTTTGCTGTTGGTGATCATGTATGGGTTGTTTTAACAAAGAATCGTGTCTCGCCTCGCGAGTATAATAAACTTAAAGCAAGAAAGATCGGACCATTAGAAGTGTTGGAAAGAATCAACGCCAACGCTTATCGTGTCAAGCTCCCTCCGAACATTCGTTCATCTGATGTGTCCAATGTTAAACACCTTGTTCCATACGTCACACATGATGACATTGCAGATTCGAGGTCAAATCTTTCTCTACCTTCAGCGACCTGATGCAGCATACATTCCTATTACGTTCTGGTTTTGGTTTTGGCTTTTAAGTTAATTTTCCTATTCTTTGATCTTTACCTTTTCTTGATAAACTAGTGTTTTCCTTTTATTCACCTGTTACGATCTCTAGCTTTACTTATATATATGGTTGATGCCTTGGCTTGTGAGGACACAACTTTTTCAATAAACTATAAGAGCTTTTATACTCTTCTCTCTTCCTTATTACATAAAGAACAAAGCGTTCTCAATGGAATAAGAAGGCATTGTCTTTTAGGCATTCTTAGACTAAATCAGAATTTTGCATTATCATAGCAAGAACTACATCCAAAATCATAAAATTATGTTTTCCCGCTAAAACCTTCAAATCACGAGAAACCCGTAAAATTCTGGTTTTCCGCCAAAATCGTAAAATTACATTTTTCCGCCGAAACCATAAAATCACGAGAAACCCATAAAATTCTATTTTCCCGCCAAAACCATAAATTTCTGTTTTTCTCCAAAACCGTAAAATTACGTTTTCTCGCCAAAACTGTAAAATCACAAGAAAAACCGTAAAATTTCGTTTTCCCAAAACCATGAAATTACGTTTTCCCGTCAAAACCGTAAAATCATGAGAAAACCGTAAAATTCCATTTTCCCGCTGCAACCGTAAAATTCTATTTTCCCGCCACATCCATAAAATTTCATTTTTCCAATCAAAACCGTAAAATTACGAGAAAATCGTAAAATTATATTTTCCCACAAAAATTATAAAATCACGAAAAAATCATGAAATTCTATTTTTCTGCCAAAACCGTAAAATTTGTTTTCCCGTCAAAACAATAAAACCGTAAAATAACGTTTTGGTCAAAACTATAAAATTTAATTTCTCACCAAAACCGTTAATTTTTGAAAATTGTTTGTTTTAAGAAAAAATTACTAAAAATTTGTTTTTTCACAAAAACAGTAAAATATGTTTTTAATCATTATATAAAAACAGTAAGATACATGCCCTTTATAGGTTTGACGGAAAACGTAATTTTACGGTTTTATGGTTTTCCCGTAATTTTACGGTTTTGGCGGAAAAACGAAATTTTATGGTTTTTCCATAATTTTACAATTTTGGCAGGAAAATGAAAATTTATGATTTTTTGTAATTTTTCAATTTTGGCGTAAAAATGAAAATTTACAGGTTTCTCCTAATTTTACGGTTCTGGCAGGAAAACAAAATTTTACGGTTTTGGCAGGAAAACGTAATTTTACAGTTTTGGCAGGAAAACGTAATTTTACGGTTTTGACGGGAAAACAGAATTTTACAGTGTTCTCGTGATTTTACAGTTTTGGCGGAAAACCAAAAATTTACAGGTTTGGCGGGAAAACAAAATTTTACGGTTTTGGCGGAAAACATAAATTTATGGTTTTCTCGTTATTTTTTATTTTTGGCAGGAAAACGTAATTTTACTGTTTTGATGAGAAAATAGAATTTTACGGTCTTCTAGTGATTTTATGGTTTTAGCGGGAAACGTAATTTTATGGTTTATGCGAGAAAATAAAATTTTACGTTTTAAGCGGGAAAATGGAATTTTATGGTTTTTTGCGATCTTACGGTTTTGGCGAGAAATCATAATTTTATAGTTATGGCAGTAAAACATAATTTTACTGTTTTCTCGTGATTTTATTGTTTTGGTAGAAAAACGTAATTTTACGATTTTCTCGTGATTTTACAGTTTTGGAAGAAAAGCGTAATTTTATGGTTTTGGCGAGAAAACTGACTTTTAGGGTGGGGGGTGTATTGGATTAGGAATTTCTGAAGATTTGATGGTTGTTTTAAAAAATCCCTATTATTGAATTAATAATTTCTAAATGTCTTACCAAAATTGATGTTATTAAACATGAAATTTATGTAAAAATCAATGTTATTCAATCAACAATTTATAAAAACTACATCAACTCCACTGTTATTGAAAATATTTTAAATAGTAGATTTTAAAAAATATTGAATACTTTTAAACGATTTTGTGGAGTTTGTTAGTTAAAAATATAAGAAAAAAAATCTCATTGTTTTATGTGAGATTTCATATAATTTTAATATCAAATCTTATCAACTTCCCCAATCCACATAATATCATCTGAAATTTCATTAAAATTCAAATCTTTTT